GGGAACATAGCAAAATGACTTTTATGTCATCTTAAACAGTGCATTTTGCAATATCCATTGGAAAAGTGCGGGAAAAAAATTCAGAATTCTGAGCCCATTTTTACAGAAAACAGTCGAGTTATTGAGAATCTCAATGTGACATTATTTAAAGCATATGTGCTCATAAATGCAATAATGTGAACAAATCATCGCTAATATAAATATTAAAGACATGAGAGAAAATTCAAAAAAAAAATCTTTTGTGTAATTTTTGAAAAAAACAAAAGAATAGATCAAAATGGCATTTATGTCATTGCTTAGAAAACATTTACCACTATCCGTACCAAAAGTTTAAAGAAAAAATTGGAGTTACTTTTGAGAAAATTTTGAAAATATCGCTGGAGCTTCATGCAATTTACCCCCAAATTTTAAAATACTTTTTTCAAAATTACAATGCTTTGAGTTGAACCAGATCAATCGGGGAATATCTTTAATGGAAAAAATCTTGTGTGAGATTTAGGCGCCCGTGGTGATCAGAGACTGACAGAGATTAGGGGGGGGGGGGACACTTTTTCGGTATGAGAAGACCCCAAAACATGTATTTCTGTTCAAATCTGGTAATCACTTTTCCGCAATATTACATCACTTTCTCTATTTTACTTATATTACTTTTATATATGTACATATTATAAGAGAAAGTATTAACAATCAGATATGAAACGACAAGTTGTTGATTCTGAATGTATTGATGGAATAATCATTTGCATGTGATTTGGAATTGATGGAATAATCATACAGGCTCAATTTTAAATTGTCAAACAGTGATCGTCCCCAAGCTTACCCATCAATAAACCATATTGAATTGATATTGTGTAAATTTATGGGAGATAGGAAATAGTCAAGAAGTTTCCCCAAGCAAAACCTGTGAATTTATCCATTCTTTGAGAGTTCAGTGTCTTGACGAGTTCAGTATCATCTGCCTGATGCAGTTTCAATATCAGTTCAATGCTGTTTTTATTATTTTCTGATATTAGGACATTCATTTCTGATATACAATGTAAATTTCAGGGTAATAGAATGACATAAGGATATGTGATCAAATACTGAGCAAGAATACTGCAAAGGCAAAAAAAAAGAATTGCAAACTTGAGAGTTTTACAACAAAGGAATGGAATGTTCTCCAGAAATCCTTGCATTCAAAAAATGGTGACATGATAAGTTTAAAAAAAGTTTCTGACGAGGCACTGAAAAGATATTCCCAAGAGTGACATTGATGTTTTCAACTATCGAAAATGAAAACAAGTGGAATAACAATCAGATATGGAAGGACAAGTTGTAGATTGTGAATGTATTGATGGAACAGGCACTCACATTCAACCTTAAATCATCATACTATGATCTTCCAAGTCTCCCTATGGAGAAAGAATATTAACTGGTATTTTCTCAATGCACATTAAAGAATTGGATATTTTCAGAAACCTTGACACATTTCTGCCTGGCACCAATTGAGAGATTTTGGCTAACTTATAACTAACTCAGGAAAATGAATATGAAAGAATGGAAAAAAAAACAACTGAATTTACTTTAACAAAAACCTAGTTTGAAAATTTGAAGTTTTGATTGTAATATTGGATGCTTTTATTTATTAGAATTTAGGTTGATGCATTATTAGGTGAAATACTATTTTGTTTATTCAATGCCTTTTCTGTAATTCAGTGTTTAAAAAATAAACAACACCAAGCAGAAAGGATATACATATAAAGTCTGAAATTGGTAGAAATAAATTTGCATATTTATTGAGCCTGCAAAATGCCTTTGAGGGCAAAGGCCTAATGCTTCAGCAGGGTGAAAATTTGTAAAAAATTGAACAATTTGCATATTGCAAGTCTTTAATTACTTTTTCTTCGTGTTCAGTTATAGAAGGTAATTTGAACTCTAGAACAAACATCTATGCCTTTTGATTGAAACAACTAAGAAGATTCTAATGTCATTTGAAAAATTTACTTTTTTATTACATATTCTCTTTCTGCATCTAGTAGTTGATATTTTATTTACCAGTTGTTCAAATGGGGTAAATAATTAATTGTTTATTTTCTTTTTAAACTAGTCATTGGTGAGAGTCTGTAACCATAGTAACTTGGTTGAATAACTCTTATTTTGGTTTGAAATCTGATCTCACTGGTGCTACGTGGATGCAGCAAAAGCTGGAAGGGAAGAAACGAGGGAAGAAAATGTGCACAAACATTGTCACCAGCAGCACTGCTTCTTCAACTAATTGCATTCTCTTTGACGTTTCTCGTTTGTAGGTGAATTATGTAAGTAGATGTAATTCTTCTTTGGAAATTTTTAAGTTAGTGTGTAATTGTTCATTGTGATATTTTAGTTGAAGAAACTATGTCAATGATCATACCAGGTATTGTTCTACTTTTGGCAGAATTTGGTGCAACAAAAATTAGGTGAATTATTTAAGTGCACTTTCCATCTTTCCAATATTTTTTATGCTGAAAAAGTATTCTTATAGTCAGAAAGCGCAAGGATCAAAGAAAATAAGAGAGTAGGTAGTAGAATAGTGACAGTAGATTGTTCCTGATCCTCTGTCTGATCTCTGTCTCTGTCATTCTGGACATTATTCTACAGTTGGCAAGAACGTGCGGGAATTTTATCCTCCCAAGTTTCTGTAACCGAAGTGTTGGCTCTGAAGACTATAGAAGATTTAATCTTGGAATTCAGTAATCTCCACCACATTTGAAATGCAGAATGGCTGTGTGAAGTAACAGGAAACCACGAATTCATATGTAAGGGATTTAGCGACACAAAGAGAAGTTAATCCATCAACTTAAGAAAGATAATTTTCTAGATTACTTTTTGGAAAGAAGTTTCAGCACAACAGGAATATTATTGTTTCCCTGAAATGCGAGGTGAAAGAGAAGATGAGGTATTATAGAAGATGATCTCCCATCTGTTAAAGGATTAATAGCATTCCTGGGGTTCTAGTTTATGTTCACCTGGCTCACTACGGGGTCTTTTTGAATTAGGTGGTTTTGCTTGCATTTGTGTTCAATATTTTTTGACTCCTCTCTCTCCTACGAGAACAGGGATTGGGAGTCTGTTTAAAAGGATTAATGGTGCAATTCATTAAAATCAGTGAACGGAAATACAGAGGATCAATCTGTTAAGTTAACCATCACATTTACTTATTCTCGCATTTTACATGGTTGAAATCATTTCAAAATGTTTTATAAACTTAAATTGAAAGTTTATTACATTAATGAAATTGATAGAATAAGATATATTTCTGATAGAATGCAAGTGGATGTTATAAAATATTGTATTTTTGCTGTAGATGTAAAAATTATATATTTTAAACTGGAAAGGCATGTCATTATAGTTACTTTTTAATTATTTTTTTGTTTACTGACTTTTCTTGATCATTGATATTTTATCATATTCAGTCTTCAAATCAGAAGGAACTTGTACTCCCCTGTCGCCCCTTACACTCCTTTGATCACTTGTCTGTTTTAAGAAGTAATTTGTGAACCGGTACTTAAGCCAATGAGAAAAAGAAAACCTCCATAATACACTTTTCTCTGACATCCACAGTTTTCAAAAATGAAGAAAACACACCATAATAATACCCCTGTGACAAAATATTGTTTTTCAAATGTTCTTTTGTATGTGTTTTTTTACAGGCCCAATGTTGAAGGACTTTGAATCAAAATTCAAACTGAGAAATAATGAAAATGTACAAGGACTCTCTTCATGTAAGGTGGCTAGTTTGGCTGTGAATGAAAGATTTATCATAGTTTCTGTATTATCTTGAATAAATCTTTTTCGTGTATTGAGTGTTTACTGTTTGGCCAACAATGAAAGATTCGTAATGGTTTTTGTATTATCTGGAATAAATCTTTTGGAACTATTGAGTATTTACTTTGAAGAGAAATTGTTTGTTGATATGTTAATATAGTTTTAGAAAACAAAAGAATTATTGATTTCTTTATTAGTAATTGTTTTTCGGGATAATTCTCTTCTAAACCAAATGTATGTATACATAAAAATAGTCACATGCAATCGTCTGTTCTCTTTTTATTTAATGCAACTTTTTATACTGAAAGGAGCCCACATCAGTGGAATCAAAATTAGGCACGCAAAGATTTTGTATTACTGCCAATGATGATTATAATAATACAAATGATGTTTGGCTGTTCAAAGAATTGGCTGATCAGGGGAATCAAACCCTGATCTTCTGTAATATACCCAGTTGCTCCAGACTCATTGAAAACTGAAAATTGAAACTTCTGAAACAGTCAAATCTTTGAACAGCATTTAGGAGTTAAGAGCCCCTTGTACTGTTACAGTTGGCATTTCAACACTTGACTACAGTCGAAAGCTTAGCAATTGTGAAGGAATGTTTCCCGTTACGCAACTGCCAACTACTGACCACCGGTGTACTGCATAGCTTCTTAGCAAATGTAATTATTATAAATAGAGATCAGAAGTTCAGGCATTTGTTTTACTTAAAATAGGCGTGCAAGGAGGCATTTATATTTACTAAAATGGCAGCAAAAAGGGTATTTATTCTGGCTGAAGTATTTTAACGGTTTTAATCAATACGAGAAAGTATCTGTTGTAGCACCACTAGTTTAATTTAATTTTTTGTTTTCTAAGAACAAGTGCGGTGAATCGTACAAGAATTGAACTGTTTTCTCAATTATCTCGCTGACTGAGCTAAACAAAATACGCTGAGAGGGGTAGAGAAAGGAATAAATAGATAATTTATTGTTTAAAAAGAATAGATAAACAGGTGGAAGAGAGATGTGAAGATTGCAGAATACAGAGTAACTGCTGCATAAAGACCCCAGTACACCAGCATTGCTTTGGCGCGCGCCGTATCTTTTGTGAAACGCCACGAGGGCTTTGGCTGTTCCGCATAAGATAGTGTTAATCTAAGTAGCACGTCAACGCACCGTTCGTGTGACACAGGCCGAACTGTTTGTGTATAATTGCAGACTACACTGACCATCAAAAGGGAAAGTTCATCTATTTTAACAATAATGTGTAATGCGTGTTTGCATTTGTACTTTATAATTTTAAAAATACTAAATATGCCTGTTAAAAGTAATGAACCCCAGCAGGAGTCTGTGACCTCCATCCCGAATAAGTGTTTCGTCCAGTTTCCCTGATCCATTGAGCACCGGTCGGTAGTCGAACTTCTTAACCAAGCTCCGTGCCGTTGCGAAAGTTATACAGCTCGAGACACCGCGGGTCACTGGACGGGTGACTGTCTGGGAATGCTCTTGTGACACACCCAATGACAGTGACGAGCCCAAAAGGGGGGGACCCATGTGACTTCATCCTTCCTTTCTCCAGAAGCCCTTGAAAAACATTTAAGACTAGATTTCCTCAGAATCTATAATAACGAAAGCCATTCGATATATCAATTGTTTGCGTAAAAACAAATATAATTCAACAAATTAAAATAGTACTATTATATTAAGCATAAATGAAAGAGCCGTGGAAAAAATATATCCAGTCGGCTGGACACTGTACATGTAGTGCCCCTCCGAAAAATCCTGGGCGCCCCAATGTATGGGAGCCTCTGTATATATATACAGTGGATGCCGTTAGTCGCCTATCACTTCAGGCCACAGATAATATAACATTAACCAATTGATATCTATATACGAAACATTCTAATTGGAAGATTATCGAATGAAAAAGCAGCCTTCGATTCTGGTTTTCTCTGAATATTGCATTCATGTAAATCTCGTACTCATAATGTATCTGGAAAACAACATTCCTGTGCTGATCAACACATCGCAATATTCCTAATGCTTGCTGGATTTCCCCCGTTGTTGGATGATAGGTTTTGAAACACTATGTCTTCTGTGAGTCCATCACATGTAGTGATGTCATCCACATCCGTATATTTTCGAAATTAGTTTTCCGTTGAATTCGGTGGTCGAGTGTACGCGAACAATAAAAAGTATTTTCCTGGTCTTTCGCGATTCGTGAGGACTGAAAACTGCGTAATTGAAATGCCGAAAAATAACAATCATGAACGAATTCTGATCGCAAAAAATGTTTTACTAATGTTATATTAACTATACAATATTTTATTAATGTAGGATCAGTTCGTCAGGGACTTTTGCGGATAACATGTACTGCAAGCATCGCTAGCTGAATTGCTTAACTACGCTTCGTGAAGACCCAGATGTTAAGCAGTTCGAGAGATTGCGTATTCCTGGTTGGGTACCCATCTGGAAATCCCGGGATCTAACGGCGCCGTACACCTGATCGAGGAGATAAAAGGCAATGACTAGATTAAAGGAGGATTACTCCATTATGCTTTCGCCACTAGTAGTTGGCTATAATATAACGTAGTTACATATTAAAGGAAAAGAACTTTTGAAAAAATTCAAAAATCTAATTTGAATAAGCCGCGTCTACTGTGTATGCGTGTCTTTCTCTTTTGCTCTCCTCTCTCTCCCTCTCCATAATTTGGCAATGCTCTTCGAAGATATTAACCCCTTCACCCGGACAGCCAAGAAGACAGTACATTAACCGGTCCGCGCGCGCTCGTGTGTGCTTTTTGTTCTTGCAGGAACGAGCTGTGAGCGCCGCGAAACAAAACCGCGAGTCGGGGCGCCGCGCCATCGCGTGTGGAGTGCTGACGCTGGGCCTTCTGTGTCAGGTGCTGCGCGGCGTCTTGACTCTGTGTGTGTGAGAGAGAGAGAGTCCTCGCCCGCCCGCCCCCCTACCATCGGCCGCTTGAGAGCCAACGCGATGTCGACCACCACCACCACCACCACCATCAACATCGCGGCCATCGCACAAGCCTCCTCACCACTGTAATCTACGACGTCACGGCGTGTTAGGCAACGTGTTTCTTCTATGTTTAAGCCTGTGTGACACACACGAGCGTTGGCGTTGATGCGCGTCAGCTGGCGTCGACGTGCGTCGCTGCTTGAGCACACGAGTGGCTTAACGCGGGTTGCGGATTAACACTGCGTTTTACGCGAAACGGCACACGAGCGCTCTTGGCGACATGCGTTGAAAGCTAGAAAACGCTCGTTATTCTTAATGTACGTTGTAGCTTGAGCACGTCGCCAAGAGCACTCGTGTGCCGTTTCGCATAAGGTGATGTTAATCTACGACACACGTTAAGCTACTCGTATGAACAAGTATTGACGCGCGTCGCGGCAGCTGATGTCAGCGTTAGGTGACGCGCGACAGGTCAACGCTCATGTGACACATACCGTACCGCACGCAGCCGCCCGCCCTCAAGTGTATCCGCAAATGATATTTAATATCGTTGGATTTTCCCCCTGCCATTTCGTTTAATTATTATTATTTTTTTTGTTAACAACTGTAACATATTTTTTGTTGCGCTGTGCTACCAAAGGATGTGTTAATTTTATGTGATAATTTATTTTTTTCCTGTGTAATATTTTTTGTTGCTTGTAATGGAAAGAAAATAATCATGTACATATTGCTGGAAACAAAACGTACTCTTTTAATGTGTTCATACCTGGTCCTGTCTCCTTTCTTCACAGTGCCCTACTCCTGATCAATTGGAGAATGTGTTTTTAAGTTAATTAACACTTTCTTCTGAATTTGCGGTTGAAAAGTTTTCGTGTTAATGCAGTTAAAATAGTACAAATCCAATTATGGTCAAATGCTGTTTTCCCTGAAAACTGTTCAAAAAACGACGTTACGATCTTAGATGTTTTCCAGTCTCATTTCGATTAGTGTATTAGGGAATCTCAAAATGAAAATAAGAACAAATGGTTTGTGAACAAATATTTCTATATTATCGATATTTTTGTAGCTAGCGTATGAACTAAACTCTGTACGTAACGTTCGGGCCCGCCATGCGGGCGGGCCCTGGTGATAGAATGCCCTATTTTTGTTACCAACACTACTTGTGTTTGCTATACACTTTTATAAAGCGGGATCGAATAAAAGTTTTGCGAACGGGCCCGCACTCATCTCGTTGCCCTTCTGACAAATGTTGCCTTCGCTTCAGTTGAAGAGCCACTTTTACGCTTAGGAAAACGAAGGGAGAAGTAAAGTAAGACAGCTGAAGAGAATCAGGACATCTGGCCCAGAGTATCAACTTATGTCGCTGAAGTGCCTCAGACCGTGAGGTCCTAGTGTTCAAATCCTGATGGTAGATTTCCGGCACAAGCTAAATAGCTATGCCGAGTTCAGCCGTTGTGTGGAGGAGAATTCTAGCGGCCGGCTGCTCTGATCGATAGTTTCTGAGATCAACACCAGGCGAATGCTTCTATAAACCCAGGGACCGCGCGATCTTTCCTTCTTGCTTGTCCTATCCTCACCCTTATACACATATGCACTCCACTTACAATCAGGCCCGGAGACTGACTGGTTGGGAGCTTAGAGCTTGTCCCGGCTGGGACGGTGCCCCACTGGTGCGAATTGGGGAAAACCCGCTAGCCAATGGTAGGTCGGCGCCAGATCTCACATCTAGTGGAGGAAGGCCAACGGCACTTCCCAAAGAAAACATGCAATATACTTAGGGGACTAATTACAGCCGTTGGCAAATCCAGAATCACTAACAATCAATCACTCAGTAGAGGAGACAAGGGAAAGAAGATAGAGAAGATAAAATTAAATGGCTTCTTAGCTCTCGAATCCTATTAGCATTGGGGTCGAAAACAAGGGATGCTGGGAGATCAAAATAGAACAGTTGAGTGTTTTTGGGCACAAGTAAGCAGAAATCTCGTACTTGAAGTGTTCCCCGATTTAAATATCGTGTCTCAAGGTTGGGAGCTGGAAGGAGAGTAGTGAATAATTCATCCATTCATATAGTACTATTGAAATGTTTGGTATTGAAGTTCCCGATTGGATGACTGTGTCACCTGTTCTTTCAACTTATGACCTCGGGGAGTTACTTTATTTAAATCGGACAATAGATAGACTCTCCTCTTTTAACTAGACTTGAGACCAGCGTCCGCTGTCTCCGTGTTCAACTCACCTCGAGGTGGATCAAGAGCCCAGCTCATATTCCATCAGCCGCACGCAGAATTGTTTAAATCATAAATTGCAAAATGACAGTCATAAAATATGGTGTAACACGATTACCGCAAAAGTTCCCCAAACGAATTCATCACAACCTGCTATTGTGTGTGAAAGCACCAAATATCGCTCGAGGGAGCGTACGTCTAGTTGATTGCATTGTGTTCGCGCGATCCGATTCTCTCATCCGGTCTTGAAGACAAACGACATAAATGAAATAGTATGTGTTTTACACGGTATTAACTACCGCGTACTTATGCAATTCCAGAAACCAATGGTGGATTCAACGGCGAAACCCAGAAAAACTTGCAAATTAATTGAAGGAAAATGTATACATCAACAACTAATGGTGCATGTAGTTAGCAATGTGTAGCGTACACAAACTGGGAGTTAGTATTCAAATATTTCCAGTTTTGATATGTCGCTCGGGTATATTTATAATATAGAATCAATGTTACAAACTTCTAGGATATTTAGAGGGGTCGAAATTGATCACTTTTTGCCAACGAAAAAGTAGTGAGGAATTTCATATAACGGAGTTACACGTGTGACTTTTGGCTCTCTGTTAGGAAACGTCTTGAGCACATGTATTCTTGTGCATTTTTTAAAAATTATTTTTATTTATTTATTTTAAACTTTTACTTATCTTTCAACTATTTATAGTTAAAATGACGGGAAGGGATTTTGGAACTCAAGAAAACGTGCGTAGATTATCTTCTCCCCCATACTTAATAAATCTAAAATAATAATATGCCTCTACATCATACATGACAGAAACAGTTGTTTGAAATATAGGAATGTTTCCGTATTGAGCATACCATTTAACCAATCTCTCAGTCAGTGATATATTCCAGTCATATACACTGTTTACATTCATACATACCCCGCAAACCAATGACTTACAGAATTTCAAAACTAAACCAAAACTTTGCAATACCCTCGCAGCCATTCTATTCATTTGAATTACGATATTAACAGAGAGAAGTATGCATCTATCCTGCAGCTTCTGTTTTCTCACAAAAAAAACGAAAATGCAAAAGAGAGTGACTTACAGGAATTTAAAAGTAACTGATTTATTTATGGGCAGAGACGAGAACGCCGGAGTTAATGAAGCTATTAAGCATGGCGTCGTTTTCGATTTTTTAAAAACATTCTATTAGCATTTCATGACGAAAAACTATGTCTGAAGTGAACATTTTTTTTAAGTTTTCAAAGAGTTAGTGCTTACCGAAATAACTGTACAGTCAAGAAACTGCTGAGATTTGTGGCTGATCCCACTTCTCCACTGGTAAGCAATTGTTAATTAGAACAGGGATCCTAATCATTTCATCACTGAGAACCAGTTTAAATTTACAGGTTATTTGAAGTACCACTTTGAAATTTCTGAAATCCCAATAAATAGCAGCAAGGTAGGTTTTTTTTTTTTTTTAAACAAAATATACTAATACAGTGCTGGGATCTCGGAACGTCTGGGCCATTCGAGAACCATATAAAGTTTTGCTAGTGAAGTCTGTTTTGTTGAACTAGTAAAACGTTTATAGTTTTGAATTTAAGCACGTGGAATCAGCGTTATTGTCGCTGTACCTACGGAAGTACCAGTGCAAGTTTAAAGCTGCACAGAGTTGCATTCCTTCATTACCACTAGTTTTAAATATTCCTTTTTGCTAAAAGATACGCAGTACAGAGTAGGCTTTTCCAAGTGCCATCAGAACTGCCTTTATGTACCTCTTCAACTCCTGAATTACAGAAATGAACTTATGTGAAGGAAAAAATCCTAGAAGTAAATATACTTTTTTCGTTATGAAACTGTTTTATTTTAGAAATGCATTTACATTTGCAGCAATTGTGCAGTTATTAAATATTTTTATATTTGTAATATTGTGTAGTTAATGTTTGTAGAATAATAGCGAAATATAATTATAAAACATTTGTACGTGTATGGAAATATCTTACATAAAATTACCGTTCTTCATATAAACAAAATAGGTCGTGTAATGTCAGTTTTTGACTTCTTATATAATTTTTAATACTACATTACATTTCTTTCTTCATTATTTGTTTTATATGTATGGGGCGTCATGTGAGTCTGTTTAGTCAGTTACTGTATGCAACATTGCTGCAGTGGTCTTTTGCATAACATGTCGACTTACAAATGTGGGGTAGTCTACCACATTAATGCTTTTCCTATTATGGGATTCCTTGGGAAATTATGGGATTCCGCCCATCCGGGAAACTTCTCATCCTCGGCAGAGTTGGCAACTTCCTTGGCATTTTTGGCTGGTAATCCGATGTTTAATCCTGAAGAAGAACGATGGCAACTGAAACTTGACCAACCCACGTAAGACGCAAGGTCTCTCGGACAGAGAAGATATCACTGTAATCCGCGCACGTTATATTGAGTTCTCATTTCGTTAGATGAAACAGAAGTGAGGAGTTTGGTTATTTCAACGCCAGTACTAGCAAACCAACTGTGGCTCTATTACCGATGAAAATAGTTTATATTACTTGGGAATACAAATTTGTCGTGATTAAGTGTTGTTAATGTCAATTGCTCTCTTGTATTCATAATTCCACTAATGTTGGTAAAGAAGTAGGGTATGGATACTAGAACTCAAGAAACCGTGCATATATCACTCTTGCTCGAGCCGTGTCTTTCAACACGTGTCGTGTCACTAGAGACATAGAGCGTGTAGAAAGCCACGTCTAGAATCTCGCGCTTGTAACGCGTCACGTTTATTGTTACGCAAGGAATCTCATAATTTGACGAAACTTACAATTAATTGTACATTCGCTTTAATTGCACTTTTGCAGCGGTCGTTCGTCATTTCGTTCGGCACGTAATGCGACACGTTTCAAAGCATATTGGTTACGTCAGGTCGGTTCGCCGAAGTCACGCGTAAACAGACTTCCAGCGCACGTCACACGCTCGTCACGTCGTACGGCACGTAATGTACCTCGTCGTAC